GCAAACCCCACCCCAAGTCTTTATGTACTATGTGTGTATTGTTTTAGTGGTGTTATTTTGGATTAAAACTATTTTTTTGTGAGGCTTTTCATCTTTTCATATTTCAAGTTGCTACTATGTGTATTGTTTAATCCATTTCTACTGTTATTTTGGTTTGAAACTACTCTTTTGTTTCACATGTAATCATCTTAGTATGCTTTATGTAATAGCCTTGTTAAAAAACTTGTTCGAAAAATCTACTTGAGATAAAAACTTAGTCAAGGGAAAAAGAGTACAAAACCCAATGAATTAAATGATAGAGTTGTCATTGATATTGTTGCCACCAAAATTGGATAAAGGAGCCCAACCCATCCTAAGCCCTTTATGTATATAAGGAAAGAACCCTAACATTATCCGCCTTTCTCTCACTTTCCTATTCTAAACTTGTCTCCACAACGTTCCCTTCCGGTAGTCACTAGAACCTCATTCTTCGTTGTCTTCTCTTGTGGGATTGTTTCCACCTTGCCGCCTCTCCGCTTCCCTCATCCGCAACTCACACATGAGCATTCACTATTGAGAGGTATCTCTCCTTTTTATATTTGTTTACCTTCTTTTCTTGTATATATCTTGCCTTCTGACTTTCCTCTGCTCCTAATAAGAGGTAATGGGTTCACCCGAGTGTGGAGTTCATGGAGGTAACTGTCAAGGAGTTCACAGTACGTCCTTAGGTTTGACTTCCTCTATTTCCTTAGTCCTCTACCTCTTTTTAGTTCTTACCCAAGTTTGTACTTTGTCAGTTGGTTTTGAGCTTCGTGCCAAACTTTGCTTAAGTTCTGGCTTTCATGCTTGAATGTTAAATATGCATGTATCTCTTATTTTTTGGTGAAAGTTTTTGGGTTCTAACATAAATTAGCAAAAACTTTATTAAGGCAATTGTAATGATCCCCTCTTGTAGACATACTCTTTTGCAAATATGTTTGTTGCCCCCCTTTCTTTCCTATTTAAATCCTAGCTTCTGAATTTTCATCTTGTTTTATCTGCTTGGTCCTAATCCTTATATTTGGAATTTGAGCTTTATCACTGTTAATTATGTGTCTACCTGTTGTTGGTAACTCTGTGAAACTTTTGAAAATGTGTATACCTTCTTGATTAATAACTATATTTGCTAAATAATCCACAATTTGATTGTCTTCTCTGAAAATGTGCTTAGTGGTAGCATTTTGTTGTTGCACCTCTCTCATTATTTCATCCACTGTCTCCATAATCTCCCATGGGATTCTCTAACTCATTTGTATGATGTTCTTTATAGTTAAGGAATTGGTTTCTATCTCTATATATATGTTGTCACCCCTTTTCTTTGCTAACTTGTAATGTTGTTTGAATATGTCACGTCCCGAGACTACCCCCGAGACGCGGACATGGGATCTAGGACCACAAGTGATTCCAAGCTAACTATGCTGGCATGATCACGAGCATACTAAAGATAATAAATTGATGCAGAAGCTAAAGCATAAATAAAATGAAAAGATGGGGAATACCCATTTACCATAACTGAGATAAATGAAAACTGATGAGTTTAATACAAAGATGATATTAACTCAATACTAAGTTGAATCTAACGATGTCTGAAAATAGCCTCTAACTGACTAGAAATGCTGGGACAGGCCCCAGCTAAGTCTAGCAAAACTGAAACTAAAGGACAAAAGAATATTGAAAAGAAACTCATGACTATTGTCCTCGGAGAATGAGGACTCGCCACTAATTCTACTGAACTGAAGATCAGGAACCAATCTAAGCGTGATCTGGATGCTGAGAACCTGGACCTACATCACGAGAAGATGTAGCACACGTATGCGTCAGTACTTGAAAGGTACTGAGCATGCAGGATAGAGTAAAACTGAAATAATATATAACTAAACAAAGCAATGAAATAATCTGGACATGATATAGATACTGAATACTGAGCTAACTGAATGCAATGACCAATTTATAACATGCTGAGACTGAATATACTGATACATGGTCAATGCAATAGAATCTGACTGAACTGTCGGAGCTACTAATAACCGACATAAAACCACATGAGTTAAATGTGGAGTCCGATGTATACGCCCCATCGAGAGGACCCAATACACCCGGCCAAAGGTGTAGAGGCATGTTGGCGTGATCACTAACTGATATTTGCCCACAGAGGGGACTTACACCTACGTGGCTCGTATTTCTAAGACTATATGGGTACGCTGAACCCTAGTCCAACTCGGTATTATGCTACTCCCAATAGATTAAGTGATTAACATATTACGACTGAATTTCTGTAATACTGGATAGCTTAAAACTGAACATGCAAAACTGAGAATGCAACAATTAATCTGATAATGATGCATTCATAAACTGAGGCACGTATAACTAAATACTGAGGGTTATGTAATTAATACACCATTTCACTCACTTGTTTCTCATCTAGTTTTGTTCACAAATATGACAATACACGTTTTTTGGTAACATGCTAGACCTAGAGTCCTACACGATTACATCGAGATATAACTCAATAAGATTCACACTTTATTTATTGATTTATTGTATGTTGTTATTACTTATCGATTTGACTAACTCATTAACAAGTAATTTAACATCAAGAACGTATTATTTGATCACTATATTCCATGTGCCCTTAAAACACTAAAATAAACTCAATTGTTATTCTAAATCACAAATTTAACGATAAATATGAAATTTTTTTACGTGACTCATTCCTCGTCGTGACGTTTTTTTAAGTAAGCCTTGAAAATCTATAAAAAGAAGAATACTCCTTTTCTCCATATCAATCTCTAATTAAAATTGAATTTTGTATAAAAATAAAAGATTTTTTGACAATTTTTAATTATGATAGAACAATTCGAACGCAACTCTAACAAATAAGTGGATTTTAATTGTTTGTGAAAACATATGTGTTGATGAGTACGTGATAAATAAGTTTTGTTTTTGTTGTCCTTTTTAATTTGTTTTAATTAATTCCTTTAATAACCCACATAATACTGATCTGTGTTTGAATAAATGTGGTCCAGTGATTGTGTTAAAACAAAAGAAACAAAATACAATACGTTTAGATCAATAAAGTATTAATACTAATTTTGGATGTTATAAGTAATAATTAATATAAGTAGTATAATTGAAGGAATTAAAGAAAACTTTATTTCAACTGTTGTCGTACGTGAAGCTGACAAAAAATGGTAAGCCCCTTCAAACTGTTGTTGTCATCCAGCTCGCTCGGCTTTGGCTTCAATTTTGATCAAATAATTTGATTGATCTAGTTTTTAGCCAAAATTTATTTTTTCAACACCATTACTCTCAAGAAAATTAAATAATGTCATGAGTTAGTCGATTTGAAACAGTGGCAGAGGTTTGGTCTTAAGACTTGAGTGAATCAAGAAGCGACGTGTGGCAAGAAGAATAGATTACAAGCGACTCAACAAGGATAACATCGATTGCTATCGTTAGAACGCGACCAATTATAATATTTCTATTCATGAGAAATTCTGAGTCAAGACAGTTGGGGCTGGAGTCTAATCAACAAAGCCAACCTAGTTTCAAAAGTACGTGATCGAACATCAGATTGTGACCTGAAAAAATATAGGCGAGATAAGCTCAAGGGGCCAACCTTTGCGGGAGGGTTCAAGAACTTCACCAATCGTTACGTAATTGACGTAACGTGCAAATAATGCACTTAATAGGGGTAAGATTTTCTTATGCTACACCCTGGGATTTTGTTATATGTAGTCTTCTATTTATTTGTTGTAAGTCATCAAATTATCATTTACTCACTAAGAAATATACTACTCTCTTGTATTCTTATACTAGATTGTGTTGCCCGTGCTATGCACGGGCCCAATAATATGAAAGGTATGTTTTGGTTGCGTGGATAAAGGAATAAGTTTTTTTATGACAAACTTGTACTTTCTTTGACGCTATTTAAGACATAATAAGAGTACCCACATACAACATATGAGGTTCAGTGAATTTCAACACTATGAAAAACATAAGACAAGTGAGAGAGAAGCATATTCTTGTAAGATCACAAAGAACCAGAATTAACACTTTGAAAGAAAAAAAGAGCAGCAGTAAACATTTGTGTTCATTTTTATTTTTGTGTAATATATGCCATTATCAATCATTGCTTGTAGGATCTCTAGTATTCCCAGCGATGAAATAGTCCATATTAGTGACAGCAAAAGTTGTTGTCGTTTGCTCAAACCTAATATAAATCAAAAAAGGAAACATTATAATAGCAAACCAAATTAGTAATACTACAAATAAACTTGAGGGGTGGGTTTGAAGTATGCAGGTGGAAAATATAAGAAGCAGTACCAATATGCAGCTGCTCAAGTATAATAATCATGTACCCATCGAAATTTAGCATACCGCAAGAGAAACAACCGATTATAACAAAAAAGAAGCACAATTCTTTTTCAGTAACTTCAGAATTCAAAACTAACTAATATTTAGAGCAATAGCTATTAGTTCTGTTATGTATTGTGCTGTCATATTCCTCCTATTTGGTGCGGAAAAGTCTAATATATAACATTTTCACTGTTTGGCTATGTACAGATCAATAGCTGGGGAATACCTGTGCTTTCCACTTGAGTTAAGTTAGTTAAGGATTTAAGGTATAGACAATCATAGTAGATTTGTGGACAAATGGTTGGCATAACAAAGTCTGACTGTATTTAGTATATGAGAGAGCAGCTCCAGAGTTTATGAAAGCGTATACATCAAGTGAGAAAATAGATAAGGTACCTGTGACCACGACTGGGGATTCCTCTAAATCTTGTTGACCGCCTAGTCTATTCATATGGTTTGGACCGGCACTTGAATCAGTGTCTCGTGAAAACAAAAGAAGCAGAAGGGGAACTGAGAAAAATAAAAGAAATTTTGGGTAAAAAGATACCTGAGTTTGTAACTAAGAGATGAACTCGTCTGGAAGCAGAGAAGGAAGGAGAAGATAAGCTGACAAACAAAAAATAGATAATTTATTATGATTGTTAAATGGGGAAACTATGCAAGACAATAGTAAAAGATGAACTATGATAATTAAAATAAACAAATGTATGTGTAACCACCAATTAGAATGGCGTGGACGGAACAACAGAGTTATTAGTTTAGTGTAAGAGCAGTAGACCAATGGTTTTCCAAAGAAGAAGATATATGAATAAGATGGCAAAAAGAGTGAAAATCACTATTATAAACAGGATACTATAGACCTAAGTTGTGGGGACTCATTTTTGTTGCCGCAATCGTGTTGAATTCTCCAAAAATATAGTACTTTTGAAGAATCAGAAGTACTATATTTCAATAGTAAAGAATACCAAAAGAATTGAAATATAAAGTTATGAATAGAAAACAATTGATAATGTGTATATGATCTTAACTTGTACTAATCTTGGTTTTTCTGCTATTCTTGAAGTTAATCAATTACGGGTG